TTGTTTATAATTGTTGTTTATAATTTGTACAATTAACCTCCCTATGGTTCGACCCCGGTCTTGCCGGGTTATTTATTACTTCGACACTCCTGCACTTGGGAGAAGACATCAATCTTTTCATCGTGTCAAATAATTTAGATTTTAATAGTGCAATTAGGTGTGCTTTAATTAGGTTATGAATCTCTAAATAATTGTAATCAGTTTTGGAATAAATTGTAGTAATTGGATATTATGTCTGAATTGAAATATTTTAGCTTTTAATTTATACAATTAGACATGTTATTAAGCAATTAATGTTATTAATGTCTTGAAAATTACAATTAGGGTTAGCAATGAATTTTAGAATTAATTATCATAATTGGTTGTTATGTTTGAATTAAGATATTTTGGTTTTTAATTAATGTAATTAGGTTGTTTGATCGTAATCGATGTTATAAATGTCAAAATAATTGTAATTAGGTTTTGCATTGAGTTATGAAATAAATTGTTGTAATTGGGCATTATGTTTGAATTGAGATATTTTAGTTTTAATTTATGCAATTAGACATTCTTTTTATGGAATATGACAACAATTTTTTTAAAAAAAAAATTATCATGATTTGAACAGTGCATGTGCATTGTTTGTTTTTAGTTTAATCCAATTAATATTTTATAGAAATAATACTTATTTTGTTAAATAAAAATTGTATGCAACTAACTATATTGTATATGGGGTATTATAGCCTCTATTTGTACAAATCAAATTAGACTCAACTAACTATATTGTATATGGGGTATTATAGGCTCTATTTGTACAAATCACGAAAAGGAATAAATCTAGAGATCACATTGCATGGCTATTTAATATTGATGATGAGACTTTTTAAGTGCACTTAAAAAAAACATAGGTGTCCAAAAAGAAATTTGATGAATAGTCAAATTGGTCAAAAGAACATGCATGTATGGTAATTAAAAAAGTTTTCATTGGCCTTATTTATATTTCTTGCACGTTGTGAAAATATATCTAAGGTTGTTATAAATACAATATAAATTGGGAACATAAAATTATAAATAATTTTTTTATAAATATAGTTCAAGCACCTTAAAATACATAATTGAAGTAAAAATTCATATATAACTTAAAAATATAATATAACTATTCATGTCTATATATTTTCATTAACTAACAATTAAAAAACCTAAAATAAACAAATTACTAGAACGTCATGTAAACTAAAACTAATTTTATTGTCTTAGTCAAGGATATAAATAGTTTAAGAGCTTGGCTATGTTGTTAAATAATCTCCAAATACTTCATATAATTAAAAAAAAAGGTCAATACATAGGAAGTTAGTAGCTGAAAACACCCTAAAACTTCTAAAGAATGCACAATAAAAAATTTTATATTTCAAACTAATTTCCCTGTATTGCTTCTCAAATTTCTTCATTATTCAAGCTCCTTATATTGGTCTACAATCTTTTCCCTTTCCAATTAAGTTTTATTAACGCATTCTTCAAGTTGATTCTTCTTCAATTTGAGCACTTCACAGTTCACACCGCCCCTCAACTTTTTAAATTCTTTGCACCTTTACTCAAATTTGTTTTCATTCAATCTATGCCCTTTACACAATTCTTAAATTTCTTTTCCCTTCAATCCGTGTAACTTTTGGCCAATTATATAACTGTTAAAACTTATATTACCAAAGATCAAGTTAAATATATACATACTTGTGCTAATAGTTAAGACCAACTCTACTTTTAAATTTCAATGTTATGAACATTACCAACTTTTTACTAATTTCACTCTATATATGCCGATGTAATATATATAGATTTAGAACAAGAAAAATAATTAATAATTTCCCAGCTCATGAATAAAGAATAGATTACAAAAAAAAAAAAAGCAGCTTGGTTAGCAGTATTACCCCCAGATATGCAAGAAGAAGAAAGTCTTTTTCAAGAGTTTTCCTCAGTGCTTGGGCTTGGCAAAGTAATTAGTTGTGATTTTCGATGAAGGATGAGGAAGAAAGGGGGGAAGAAATTAGGATGGCCGACAGCACAACTCGCAAGCAAAAGATGAGGTATTAAGGTATTAAAATGAGGGGTGATTACTACAACAAATAATGAAAATATATAGTTTGTTTTAGAGGCTAAAGTAGGCAACATTTATATTTCACATGAACTCGTAAAATTGGTGTGAAACTCGTGAGTTTATTGATTTTATTGAGTTAGAACAATTTTAATTTATTTTTATAAGTTTTTGAGATTTTAAAATGATTTTGCATGATAATTATATATTGACTTTAAAATGATATAATTTTCTAAGTTAACTTGTGATTTTAATAATATTTGATAGATTTTAGATAGTTTGCCTAATCCATACCATATTATTCAAATATATATAAAGACATATGGAACTTCATTTTATCATATATTTAATAAATTGTATTTAAGTGAATATAACAATTCTTAAATATATATAAATCTATCTAGTTGAGAAATTAATTGGGATTGAAAAAAATCCACTCAATAACGAGATGAATATAAAAGAAGGGCATTTTCAATGTAGATGTGATATATATGGTTAGACATGGCATAATAAAAAAAAAAATTGTGAATATAGACAATCTAAAAATTAATTGTTTGCTCGTTATATGTTAATTATTATTTTATTAAGAGATGTTACGTTAAAACTTAAATTTGTTATTATATTATACTGATTTTATATATTAAATGTTTTTGGCAGGTACGGTTGCATAGGGTGTCATGTACATGTGGATCTACTTCTTCAGAGTCTCGAGGCCACAAACGTTATCTCATACAGAGACAAGGTGATGGTGCTTCACATCACGCTCTATTCTCTTTGATATTTTTTTTTTATTTATGTGTGGTGTTTGGGTCCACTTGCGCGCACCACAACTAATTTTCACGGTCTACTGAATATCCTGCAAACCCAGTAAGCATGTAAGGCACCACGAAAGTAACAGGCGTGCACATCAGTACTCGAACCCATATGCAGTGAAAGGAGACAAGTCCTTTCAACCGTTAGGTCAAGCCCATCAATGCATTTTCTTTGATTTTTTGGTTTGGAAGATATTCATTGACCGGAGGATGTGTGGAATTATTTTATTAAGAGATGTTACGTTAAAACTTCAATTGTTTTTGGCAGGTACGATTGGATAGGGTGTCATGTACATGTGGATCTACTTCTTCTGCGTCTCGAGGCCACAAACGTTATCTCATACAGAGACATGGTGATGGTGCTTCACATCACACACGCTCTATTCTCTTTAATTTTTTTTTTTTATTATTAACATGGGTGTTCAGCTATCTTGCACGTATCACGACTAATCTCACGGGTCTTGAAGTTAACGACCATGTAAGCCTCCAGTGACCATCATATGAGCAACCAAGAACTCAAACTTGAGACTATAAAAAAAACAAATTTCTTAATCTCAAGTTTTTACCACCTCAATAATTATTCTCTTTGATTTTTTGGTTCTACTGTTGGAAGATATTCATGGACAGGAGGATATGTGGAATGAGGTTGTAAGCTTTTATTTTTTATTACAAGAAATTGCAAATATTATGCTGATTATAAATTTAAAATAAATTTCAATAATATATATATATATATATAGTGGCGGAGGGAGGGGGGGCTGGGCCCCTGCAAAGGAAAATTTTCCCAGCCCCTCCCTTATATAAAATAATTAAAATTTTAATCCTTTTAAAATAACTCTTTTAACTTGACCTTAATTTTTTTTTTTACTCTGCCCCTATATATATATACATATATATTTCAACAAACCTATTTACAATACAATAAAATCTTAAAAGATTTAAAGATTTTTTTATTTTTTTATTTTCGAGACAATGATAACATTTATGTATTAATGGACCTATAAACTTATAGATCCAATCATTTTATTTATTATATTATCAAACCAAACCCAGTACTAGTAACTTTATATATAAAATATGATCCAAATACAAAACAAATTCAAAATGTTTTAAGTTAATTTTTATTATTAATTATATTTTATTTATAAATTAATAATTATATTTAACTGAAAATAAGATTAACATAGGATGGTGAGGAGGCCATTGCTAATTTTTATGAGATGGAAGCTAATACATTTATTTATTATTATTCATCCTGCTAGTTCGATTATGCTATATAACACTAGAAATATATTCAGGTTAGTTTGTTTATATTTTCATTAATTTTATAGGTTTTAAAGTTAAAAATTATATAAGTTTTTAGTGATTATTATATTAATAATTATATAATTTAAATTTAAAATTATAAAAAAATAAATCTTTTAATTTCAATTTTTTATTAATAAACCACTTCCTAAAATAATTAACTTGAAAAGATATTATATTTAGATGATGTTGAGTGAAAGAATAAGATGTTTCATGAATTCATATTATTGATGATGTCAGCTTCGACTGGTTATCTTATATATATATATATATATATATATATATATATTAAAAGTATTATATGTTTTAAAATAAATTTTAAATCATGTTAATTTTTTAATTTTGTTTTTAAAAAAAAAAACTTGACGAAGTTTGGCCGACGACAACTGTATGTCTCCGCCAGGTCCATTTGTGGTCCTACTTTTCTTTTGTCCTTTGATGGATACGTGACATGAAATGTGGGTCAGTGGCAGATTCATTTTCTGTTGACAGCACAGTAAACAAGGGGAAGAGAAACGTTTTTCTAGTTGGTGCTGGGATGCTTGAAACTTGATTTCTCTCTAATTTCCTAAGCATTTTAAGTTGTATTTTGTTTATCTTATTAGTTTAATCCTTTTATTCCACAAATATTTGTAATAAATCTTGTGGGGGTGGGGCTACGTAGCACCAGTCAACTTATAATAAGCATAACAATTACTTGTTAAGATATCTATCCTCTGATTAATATATATAAGCATAGTGATCATATAAACGGTTCAACAATGGGGAAAAAAAATAATTTCTTCACTTCCTAATTAATGATTAAGAGAGAAAATTGAAATAAAATCATCGTAAAAACAATTGCACAAAAAAAAAAAAAAGAGTAACCAGTGTCAATTACCCTCCTCTCAAAACTATATCCAAGAGCAGGGAAAGAATATAAAGAAAACGAAAGTAAAATAAATAAATAAATAGCAAGGGTAGTGCTTAATAAGAATGCATTATGCTCATTAATTTATTATCGGTACTATAAACCTTACCTGAGAAACAATGCGGTGCCGATTAAGATCTGATGAATTTATTCTCTTCAGTACGAAAGCTGGCCCACGAATATGAACCCCACCAGCCCCATTATCATCTTGATCACTGTTCTCCTCGTGATCGCCACTGACTGGTTGAGGTTTTCTCAACTCAAGCCTCTTATGGTACCCTGTGGCGAAAGACTCCATCATCAAAGTCCCTATGGCAGATAACATGGCCACAAAACCTGCAAAAGGAAATTTCTCCCATGGATGTTGACCAAGACAAGGACTAGTTAAGCTCTCAAAAGCATCAGGAAGTATGTGAATGAACCCGGTTCCCAAGATCACACCAGCAGCAAATGCCTTGATGAGGAAAAATGCTTCTCTGTCTGGGTGCAAGTATGATAAGTTTTTGACAAAAAATGGAAGACAAATTCCCAGGGCACTGGCAAATAAAATTGAAGATATTGCAATGAGTTTGTATTTGAGTGCTTCAGATATGTTTTGATCATGACTGTCGTATGCTTTCCCTGTGCATTTTGAGGAGACTAAGACCGGCAAAAGAAGAATGAGACAGAAGATGGTAAAGATTTTCCACGAACAAGATTGCTGCTTCATCTTTGTCTAACGATGGAATGAAAGGAAACTGCGTGCTAACGTGAATATGTGAATATATACTGCGTGTGACTCATGTATATAATGAATGATTGGTGCTCGAATAGTACTATATTATGGAAAATACTAAAAGGTATGGCTAAAATTACACAGGCGCAATGTTCTCTCTCTTATTTTAATGCGGACTCATTGATATTTCTTTTTTTAACTTTATTTCTCAATTTTTTATTTTTTTTGTGAGTTGTTTTTTCCCCCCAAATTCAAGGATAATTACTAAATTTATTAACTAAAAAAAATAAAAGATGAAAAATCAAAGTAGAAAAAGACACTACAACTAGATGATGGTCTTAAAATTTTCACAAAAAATTCACTTTAATGATCAAATTTTACATGGTATACCCATGCGGTTCCTTAATATTTTTTGCAATTTAATTTTGATATAACAATTTACTTTTTTTAATTTTTAGTTTTTCGTTTAAGAGAAAAATTGTTGGATTTTAATGGTAAAAAAAAAAATATTTTTGACATCGATTCAGGTCGTCAAAATAGCTGATTTTAGTGTTATCAGGTTCCACTGAGATATTTTTTCACCTTGAAATTATCTAAACTTTATTTTTTTAAAATGATCATTTTTATTTTTTATTTTCATCCCAAGTTTTATTTTTAAATTTTTATTTATTGGCTTGAAATCATGGTTGTCCTTATTTGTTTTTGCGTTTCAAATACAGTTTTGTCCTTATTTGTTTTTGCGTTTCAAATACAGCTTTGAAAAAAAAAATTATTTTTTTTATTTTGAATTAATATATTTTTCACTTTTAAATTAATATTTTTTTAATATTTTTCAGATATTTTGATGTGCTAATATCAAAAATAATTTTTAAAAAATAAAAAAAATATTATTTTAATATATTTCCAAGTATAAAATAATTACAACATTCTTGGACACCCAAACTGCTTTTTGATGCTTATAATTCAAAAATATTATTTTAATATATTTCCGAGTATAAAACAATTACAACATTCTTAGACACCCAAACTTCCTTTTGATGCTTATAATTTTTCCTGCTAAAAATGCTACTGAATTTTTGTACAAATCTTCATGTGGAATGGGATTAAGGTATATGTTAGCTTTATAAGAGTAAGTTTTCAAAGCCTATTACGAAGAAAAGTTCAAGTAATGCTAAATTCTCATTGTTTTAGTTAATGTTTGATTTGATGTTTAAGATTAGAGTATCTTGGGGATGTAGACTTCTTCGCTAGGAAATTGCATATCTCTTGGTTATAAAGTAATTAATTAATTATTGGTGTCTTTCACCGAAACCCTGTGTGTTATCATCATATTTAGATTATATAAAAAGTTTTTATTTAAAAGCAATTATATTAAAAAAAACATATTTTCTTCAAAATAAAAATAAATAAATAAACAAGGAAAAAGAGTTTTGATTGAAGAGACTCGCTTTTCTTTCTTCATTCACATAATTGAGATTTTTATAAATATTTATTTTAATAATAGTTAGATTTTTATTCAAAAAAACATACTACTAATAAAAAAGATGCATGTACTTTCTAAAACATATATTAATAAAAAAATAAAAACTCACCTAATAGCATATATTTCTTTTATAATTTCAATAGTCACCTTTCTTACAAATATTTATTTTTATCATAGCAAAACTAAATAAAAATTTATTTTAAAAACTACCTTATGGCATTGCTGCGATGGGGAAAAAAAAATAGTTGCTATCTAGACTCATTGCAAACAAGCCACGTGTTGTGACACATTAAAAATAAATAAACTTGGCTATTGCTTTCTATTTACTCTCCAAGGAGAAAATGACGTGCAATTTATACTTCAGTGTTATAAATAACACTGTGAATTATATTTTTATGTGGAGCGTTGATTTACTAGATACAATAATTCATGATAGCAGAAATATACCGAAGCATGTTTCATTTAATTCATGATTATGTACAATTTGTTTTTTATACTTCTCATTGCCTCTATAGTGTATTTCTAAAAATAAATTCTGTAATTTTAAAATTTCAACTTGAGGTTAAAAATAAAAAAAAATTGAATAAAAATAAATAAAATAAATATATTCTCAAAAATAACCTTGGAATGAGCTTAAATGTTTATAAAACAAAGAATATAAAAAATTATATTTCTTTATGTCCTTTGTATTTATATTTTCCATCGCAAACGCCATACAAATTATCTGATAATAATAATAATAATAATAATAATATAAGGATGGATGGAATTATTGCATTGTGCTTGGGTTTCACAATTGCCATTACTATATATACTCAACAGCATTACAATTGACATTTACAGTGTTTCTTTATCAATAATTTTTTATTATCAATATAAATATCTAGCCAACTAATGTGTATCTTTATTAATTTTATAAATTTTAAAGTTAATAATTATGTAAATTTTTAATAACTTTAATATTTATAAGACTTGATAATTTCTAAAAAACAAATCTAAAATTTAATCAATTAAGCTATATTATTTAAGATTTTTTTAACAATATATAATTTAAAGGCATTTGTTTTCAAATGTCCTTTCAGTATCGTTAAAATTCCATCATAATTGCTAGTAAAATTAATATAAATACCTCTAAAGTTAAATAAATTTCGTAAAATGTATAATATAGATAATTGCTAAAAATATCTTTATAACACGGATTTACTCAAATATTGATACAACCGGGAACAATTAACAAGAAGGTAGATCGGTAAATTGTTTTGGTCAAATATACAAATACTTCTACCTTTAGATTTGTTCATTCTTTTGATCCTTTTAGTCTGAAACTTTTTCATTCTAGCTCAAGATTGTATTTAATTTATTTATTAGTTTTTAGATTTATGAGATGACAGAGGAAATCTTTGAAAATAATAATAATAATAATAAAATTATATGTTAATCACATTCTAATAACAAAAAAAAAAACATAATATCAACATGTTCCATTCAATAAAATGACTTCCTTTAACATAATCTTGAGCTTTTATTTTATTAGAAAAAATATATTATATATTAAAAAAAATATTTTAATCTTGTGTTTTTAGATTATTTTAATTATTGAAATATCAAGGATGTTTATTCAGTGAGAATAGATTAAAATAGATTTTTAAACCTAAAATCCCTAGTAGGATTTTTCTATCACCTGTTTTTTTGTTGAAATAATAGATAATGAATTGTCTATTATTATTTATTTTCAAAAAAAACATGGACATCATCTTTCCTTTGAAAAGGATAAAAAATGAGATACACGGGACGAGTTTCACAACTCCACGCGTGTCTGGCTTTCTGTCTCGTGGGCCAAGCACTTAGGTTTTTCTTTTCTGTTTTTTTCATTTAGAGTTAAATACTTTATAAAAACAATATCTAGATGATATTTCAATTATTACTCAATTTTTTCATGGTTTTGAAATAATATTATAACTTTTTATAGAAATCTTAACAAATTTAATTTCTTATTATTATTATTATGTACAAATTTAATTTCTTATTATTATTATTATTATGGATCTAATATATATATAAACCCCATGAATATTTAATTAAAAAATATTAAATTTCTTAAAAACTTTTAACAGATTTTTATATAATTTTATAACATTTATTGATTTTTTTTTCTCTTCTATCATATAGAAATACTTAGACTTTATTTTAATTCTTCCTTTTAAATTTTTTATTGAGATCATGATAGATTTTTATTTAGAAAATAGTGTTTGCAATTAAAAATATATTTTCATTGAAACAATTGAGAGATGCAATAATTATATATGTAAAAAAGATGTTCAGATTGAACAAATATATTCTTTCTACTTATTTTAAATGGCTGGAATTTTTTTTTTAAAAAAAAAACCTTATTCTTTACTGCATGATGCCTTTTATGAAAAAAAAACATGCTTCTTATAAAAAATTATGACATCCTTTTTAAGAAGATTATGATTTTTTTATTGTTTCATGGATAATTAAATATCAACCTAATATGTAAAATTTGTATGATAATTTTCTCATTAATATTTAATGAGAATATAATATTTTTTTTCTTGATTTTTTTCTTTATAAACGTTTTATATAAGTTTTTCCAACATATTGTTTTAATTGATTATCTAATTGTGGAGAGATGATCAATGTATGGTTTTTGTTTTTAAATTGAAGCTTGCTTTGACGATTATAATAAGTTTTTTAAAATAATATTCCTCATAGAAAAACAAGTTTTTTTAAAAAGTAAAAAAAAGAAAAGCATGAAAAAGAAATTTTAGTTTTTTTAATTTATTAAAAATGCATGCTTTTTACCTTTTATTTTAAATCAATATAGGCCTGTAAATTAGTCCTGTTCTAAATGATTAAACAGATTTATAAAGAAAGCATGTCGAAGGAGTAGATCGGCTTGGATTGGAGGAGTTGATCAATTGATGCCATCTAATTTCACTTGACCCCAAAAATGCGAATTTTTAATTAGCTCAGCCTGCTATAAAATCTTCGAATTATATATTTTTTTATAAGAAAAAGAAAAAAACAAATAAATGGCTGGGAGCCCAGACCAATTATCAATCATTCAGGGTTGTTGTTGTTGGGAGTCGGGACTATTGGACCGGGTGGACCCAGAAGAAGATAAATTTGTCTCCACGAAAAGATTAATTGGAATCCAAAGGATACATAGAAGGTGGTTCGGAAGCGAGGGCAGCCTGAAGCAGAGGTACTTCTGGGCCCATCAATAATTCAGTCAAATAATGCAAATCTCCTGGAACACTATTGAATGGATTCTAATAACATGTTTGTTTTTTAAAAAATAATTTTTGAAAAATAATTTTTTAAATTTTCCTGTATTTATTTGTCATTAAAAAAATTAATCAACAAAAAACATTTTTCGATCAACAAAAAACACTTTCCGGTCAATGAAAAACACTTTCCGGTCAACGGAAAACACTTTCTGGTCAACGGAAATATTTTTTAATAAA